AAAAACTCCAAAAACCCAAAAACCCCAAAAACTCCAAAAACCAAAAAAATCTCCTCAAAAACCTCCCCAAAAAATCCAAAACTGCTCAAAATTCCCCCAAAAAACCCCAAATCCCCAAAATCCCAGAACTCCAAAACCCCAAAATCCCAAAATCCTCCCCAAAAACACCAAAAACCCCAAAAATCCCAAAAACCCAAAAAACCCCCAAACCCCAAAAACACCCAAAACCCCAAAATCGTGCCCCAAAATCCTCCCCAAAAACCCCAAAAACCCAAAATTCCTCCCCAAAAACTCCAAAAATCCCAAAAACCCCAAAACTCCAAAACCCCAAAAATCCCAAAAATCCCAAAACCCCAAAATCCCAAAAATCCCAAAAAACCCCCAAAACCTCCTCAAAAACTTTCCCCCCCCCAAAAAAACCCCAAAATTGCTCAAAATTCCCCCCCAAAATCCAAATCGGAGATTTTGGGGTTTTGGAGTTTTTTGGGGTTTTGGGGAGAATTTTGGGGTTTTTGGGGAGGTTTTTTGGGGAGGATTTTTGGGAGGATTTTGGGGTTTTTGGGGAGGATTTTTGGGTTTTTGGGGAGGATTTTGGGGAGGATTTTTGGGAGGATTTTGGGGTTTTTTGGGGAGGATTTTGGGGAGGATTTTTGGGTTTTGGGGGAGGATTTTGGGGAGGATTTTTGGGAGGATTTTGGGGTTTTTTGGGGAGGATTTTGGGGTTTTTTGGGGAGGATTTGGGGGTTTTTTGGGGAGGATTTTGGGGTTTTTTAGGAGGATTTTTGGGTTTTTTTAGGAGGATTTTGGGTTTTTTGGGCAGGATTTTTGGGGTTTTTTAAGAGGATTTTGGGGTTTTTTAGGAGGATTTTGGGGGAGAATTTTGGGGAGGATTTTTGGGAGGATTTTGGGGTTTTTTAGGAGAATTTTGGGGTTTTTGGGGAGAATTTTGGGTTTTTTTGGGAGGATTTTGGGGTTTTTTGGCGAGGATTTTGGGGTTTTTTGGGAGGATTTTGGGTTTTTTTGGGGAGGATTTTGGGGAGGATTTTTGGGTTTTCTGGGAGGATTTTTGGGGTTTTTTGGGGAGGATTTTGGGGTTTTTTGGGGAGGATTTTGGGGAGGATTTTGGGGAGGATTTTGGGGAGGATTTTTGGGAGAATTTTGGGGTTTTNAAAATACACCCAAAATCACCCCAAAAATCACCCAAAATCACCCCAAAACCACCCAAAATACACCCCAAAAACACCCAAAATCACCCCAAAAATCACCCAAAATCACCCCAAAATCACCCCCAAAACACCCAAAATACACCCCAAAAACACCCAAAATACACCCAAACCCACCCAAAATACAACCAAAAATACACCCAAAAATCACCCCAAAACACCCAGAATACACCCAAAATCCACCCAGAATTCCCAAAAAATTCCCCCAAAAAATCCACCCAAAATTCCCCCCAAAATTCCCAAAAATTCTCCCAAATTTCTCCCAAATTCCCCCAAAAATTCCCCCCAAAATTCCCCCAATTTTTAGGGAGGGATCCCAGGAATATTTTGGGAATATTTTGGGAATATTTTGGGAATATTTTGGGAATATTTTGGGGATATTTTGGGGATATTTTGGGGATATTTTGGGGACATTTTGGGGAAATTTATGGGAATATTTCAGGAACGTTCTGGGAATATTCTGGAAATATTTTAGGAATATTTTAGGGATATTTTGGGAATTTTTACAGAATATTTTGGGAATATTTTAAAGATATTTTGGGGATATTTTGGGGATAATTTAGGAATATTTTAGGGATATTTCGGGAATATTTTAGGGATATTTTGGGGATATTTCAGGGATATTTTGGGGATATTTCAGGGATATTTTCGGGATATTTCAGGGATATTTCAGGGATATTTTGGGGATATTTCAGGGATATTTTTGGGATATTTTGGGGATATTTCGGGGATATTTCAGGGACATTTCAGGGATATTTTGGGGATATTTTGGGGATATTTTGGGGACATTTCAGGGATATTTCAGGGATATTTCAGGGATATTTTGGGGATATTTAGGGAACATTTCAGGGACATTTCAGGGATATTTTGGGGCTCTCACTCCACTTCGTGTGTGATCTTGTTGACGTAGATGCAGCTGTTGTCGGCCTCCTGCTGGTAATCACAGTTCCTGCACTG